TAGAGCGTGCCAAGACCCGATTTCTGCTTTCACGAACCGCGTACTGCTACAGCTGCTTTCTGCCCCCAGTCAGATCCTGAAAATAAATGTGTAGATAACGCAATGCTCGCTATGCTTTTACGCAGTGTCGCATTGCTATTGCCAAAATAGTAGTACGCTTGAACATCGCTTATCGTAGTAATTTCCATTCTGGAAGATGTCAGGTATCTTGTGCAAAAAACTGTATGGAAAGAGAGAGCCGAAATTAAATTTTGAGGCAGTCACTATGTAATCCTGTGGCGTTGGAAATTGCTGACTCGCGGAGTGTTTCTTGTGCTTAGCTTAAATATTTTAGCGACTAACATTACTGATATCACTCGATTTGATGTAATCGTTCTTTGATTTACGCTACGATAACACATCCTCGCTACAAGTACGAAGGTATAAGACAAGCTTGTAATAGAACTGGTAGAAGAATATTCTGATTTAAAAAAACTATGCCATAACCGTACCCTATGCTGTAACCGAACGACTCATAAAACAACACTACATTTTCAAAAGGCTGTATTGTAAATAGTTTGAACCATGCAGTGTAAGTATTTATTATTTATTAGTAAAGTGTTTTAACATTACCTTAATGAGAGTGGTGTAAACCGTCGTCTTCGTGATTAGTTCTAGGTAGGTACTTACATCCAATGGAAATAGCACTCATGTTACTTAGTTGTGCAAAGCGCTAACTAGGCACCATAAGAAATGAAAAAAACATCGAACAACCGCAGATTTAGAATCATCCATAGCCTGAACAGTCAGGAAACATCGAAGAATCTCGGCAAATGGCTTTTCCCCAATTCTTAGATGAGATTTCAGCACATCTGCACTACGTTTAGTTGATGAAACTATAAAACAATCACATGTACACCCCAAAAGAGCCCGATAACAAGATTTCTCCCAAAGATCTTGAAAGGGGTAGCAGCATGCCTGCGCTACGCTTATTAGTGTATTATAAAACATTCGACGATAACGCAAAATCAGTATACCGATATAAGCTTCCTTGGACTTCAGCATGCTTACACTACGCTTTTTTGACTATTATAAAACTTCAGACAATTCGCACTTTACCTATGAGCTGTGACAGAATGCGTTCTCCCAAAGATCTTGGACGGAGTTCCAGCACATGCAATTTGTTAAATGAAACTGACTGACTGATTTTATGTTTTCAAAAATTTTCTGTCAAAGATCTTGAACGCAGTTTCAGCTATGTTTATTCAAGCTCGACGATGCGCACTCGGCTGATCGCAATTGACAAAATGCTTTCATGTTGTTGGTTGCGGTAGATAAGATGTTCCATTTCTGAGAATATACATATTTTTTAATCTGTTGGTGAATAACACGAGGTTTAAGTTAAGAAAGACATATACTCCTGAAAAGAGCAATAGAAAACTGCACCTAAAATTGAGTCTTGCAGAGCAGAAGACAGAACAAAATTTTACAGGTGGTACGGTACTGTCTGTGATGAAACCGCCAGGGGAGCTATGTATAAGGTCCTATCTATTTCTACGCGAAAGTAGTACTGCTATGTTACAGATCGAAGGGTAAAGAGAGCAAACTGCAGGACATTTATATTATGTCCATTTCCGATATTAAGAATCTTCGGTGAATACCACTCTCCATCAGGTTGACTGCTTGCCGGGTTAAATACCATAAAAAAGTTTCATGCACTACGAGATGTGGGCACCAAGATAAGTGGACTGCTCATGTGAAAATCTCAGCAGCTCTGAAAGCCAATCTCGACTACATATTACGTAATCTGCTAGAAATGAGTAGTATGATACCGCTGGTGATATAATGTCTATTTTACCCTATTTCTTCCACTGCTGAGCATAGTTCACGTCCAAACCAAGCTATTAAAGTACTAAACAATGGTAAAAATGTTAGCAACGTAAAATAATAGTCCAGAAGTCTTCTCGTGTGGACTGCAAAATTTGTTTACTGAAATTATTAATAAGCAAAGAAAGAAAATTAATATCCGTTTTCTTCTATACAGCAAACATGCAACAGCGTAAATAATTAGAGAAAAGAAAATAGTAAATGATGGGTTTGTTATAAAGTAATAATACTAACATGCACCAAGCAAACGGCTGGTTAAGGCGATGAAAAATCAGTAAATAAGGTACATCTTGAGATGCTTGCTCGCTGACTTAGCTGCTGTGCTCTATAATAATAATATGTATTAAGGTCCTATGGAGTTCCGCTTTGTGGGCCTGGAATTAATATTTAAATACATCCGTGAAGTGCTTTTTACCAAATACTTTTTGTCAAATTATACATTTGATCAAATTACGCATATTACGCAACTTAAGTACTATGCGCTGTTTTATAATCGCCACAATTTATACTAATCCTTAATATCCCTTCGAAAGCACCGCTCGCGCTGATCACACAATAGTACGTACACTAAAATCGGGCAACATTAATCAGCTTCAAAAAATAAACATCCATAGTTTTGTGCAAAGAGTTTATGCCAGTGTTGAGAAGCAGATTTATAATATTGTATAAGCTCTTGATATAAAAAGTAAATAAGCAACGTTGTTAAATTAACAGAGATATTGCTACCAAAATGATAGCTCTACATTGCGTTTCAACACTGACACGAAATACATCTTTGCATAAAGAAGTTTTCAATATACCTGAAGATGATGTCCACGATCGTGAATCGCGCGTCGAGCTCTTGTCCTGGTTTACATTCGACCTGCGGCATCACACTTGTTCAATATACCACACGAAAATCAAAACAATTTCTAGTTACAAATATAAAACAACGGATGATTTCTCAACTCGACGTCCACGTGACCCCATTATTGGGCGTTGATGACTATTTTGTAGTCAAAATGCCCGTTTCTGTATAGACTAGTTGGGACGGAATCGGAACCGTGTAGTGCAAAGTATTGGTTTACAAACTTGGGACCTAACTGTGCCTTTGCTACATAAAAAAAAACGTTTTGTGACAATCAAAGAGAACTTGTAATTTTATAATTTTAGGCTTTTTAATCCGATGGCTATAAAACGGTTTTATATTTGAAGCCACTCTTCTATCTACTTAAGACCTTGAGAATTCTTTCTTCTACCGCTCGTCATAATTATATATAATTATATATATATATAATATAACTGGATTATGTAGAAAGCGAAAATTGGTCTCTAGCCAATCTTTCGTTCTGCAAGATATGAAGTGAAATTTATTCAACTACAGTATAACATATTATAAAAACCGTACCATTTTTAGAGTTTCACATCGTTTCATACCTATCCTTTATAATCCTTAAAAGGCTGAAAGAGAATCCAGTTAGGTGTACTAAAACTAAGGTATTATTAACGATAGCCTGTAGTCCATTTCTTACCCAGCTGGCGCAATGGGTCGCAGTTGCAATTGACTTGGAGTTCCGTCAGACAGTCTTTTCTGACCTCTGTGGTCTTGGCCCATCTTTGTAGGTGTTGAAGAATTCTGTAATTGAACAAGTATTGGAATTACAGGATCTTAATTGATATTCGAAGTAAATAAGATGAAATATAAAAGAAATGGCACATTGTGTGAAAATGGATCTATGAAGCAAATCATTCAGAAAAAATTTACAGCTGAAGATTTTTAATAAGATGGATTAAAAAATATTTGTAGAAATCCGCGCGTAAGTCTATATGTTTCGCAAAGTCGATCTTTAACCCCTGTGTAAACGAATAGAATCAACTCATGCGTGGATTGTAAAAGTATATTAGTTGCCAATATACAGTTTATGTTATTGTTTATGAAATGTAAAGAAAACATACAATAATTGTAATTGAAATCTACATTAAAAAACTATGCCACCAAACAGCCACCAGTGATTGTATGTAAAGCCATAATAATTAAATGATTAGTGACAGAATGACAGACAACATCGAAACTAAATGCTCACTGAGATAATCTGTGGCGATGACGCTTGTCCTGTCGAGATTATGTTTATTAGAGAGCCACTGCTCACCATGGGCTGTTGGAAAAATTTCCTTATCAGTATGAAATAAGATAATTATTAATATAAAAAAAACTACTACCCCATGCCACAGTTATTTCTAAGTAGAGAGTTTAATAACCCAGAGTCCACTAGCCTGGCTTATAGGGTTGGGGACATAGCATATCTTAAAAGTAATTGATAAACCTTCTCTGATATATAGGTTTCATCAAGACGTTTTCCTCCACTATCCAAGTCCAAGGGCATGCAAACTGTTTAGGGCTCATTCTCATTATGTCGTGACGACAGATAGTCGTGCAGTTTAAAGTGTCGTGGCTTGTATATTTAAATGAAATTGTTCACATACAGGACGACACGATTAACTGTCGGTCGTTAAGACGACAGACTGTCGTGACAATGGGAAGAGGTAAGCTTTCTACACACGGCGCCCACCAACCCGGCATCACAGCCGAGTTGGTGTCGGCGGCCTTATTTTTAATCTAATCCTATGACATGATTCTAGAAACAAGGCATCCGACACCAACCCGCCGAGTTGTGTCGAGGCGACACGGCGCCTGTCGGGTCTAATTCTGTGTATTTACTTATACGCGCAGGCGCAGGACGGGCGCACGCGTTATACACCCGACCCGCCACGCCCCCCACCCGCACCCGCTGTGTGTTTCACGCTTAACTGAATTTTAAAAAGAGTGACCGAAAATTTAAAACCGGCTCTCAAAATCACTCGATTTTTGCATGCCCTATGTCCAAGCAAGTAATATTAACTTTTGAAAGTAGTAAATCATTCAAAGTAACTTAATCCCAATCTAGTCTTCGTCCAAATATATTTGACAGATAATGCACATTATGTACCAAAGTGGTATATCTGTGGTGCCTCAACAACTGATAGTATACTGGAGATGTCAAAACATTGCTCCCAACCTTACAGTGCAGGTTTGATTAAAAATATAATACAGCGACACTATGCTACTTCGGCTTCCTGTGAAAAGTTTACAGCAACTTACTTAAGTCATATCAATTTTATCACAATGATGAGTTAACTTATGAAGAAGAAGAAAATTTCCTAAAAGTTTGGAGTAAATTATGAATCAAATAAATACCTTCTGATTGAGTTGCATGATAGTGCCTGTAGCTTGCAAATGCTGTAACTGAGCTGCTGTTAAAGGCAAAGACGTCTGTTGGAGACCTCCTGCTGGAGCAATCTGTACAGAAAAAATATGTCCATTTAAATGGACTAAGGTCAAAGCTTATACTCATACCTATAGTGGAAGATGAAAACTTACAGAAACAAACTGCTGAGGCTGCAAGTTAGCTATGCCAGTCTGATTTGATGTAAAGTCCTGTAATTGTTGATATGGAATAAGCATTGTCTGAGATCCTGGCATGGTCCATTGCACTGTCTCACCCCCTTGGATGTGGTATTTCACCTCTTTATCCCCTTTGTCAGTACTATACAGTATTTTTTGTGATGAATTTGTACTCTGAGCTGCACAAACCACTGGAGTGGCAGTAGCTGAACTGACAGTAGTGGTATCATTAGATGATAAACTGGCTTGAGGGAAATTCAATCCATTAGGAAGGATCATAGACATGGAAGATGGCACTCCACTCAGTCTCAATTGGGTTACATTTACTGGCTGCATATTGGACAAATCTACAATCTGTGTAGCTCCAAAATTGGGTTGCTGAATGCCCAAAGGCTGGGCTATAGGTAGTGACGTGAAGTTTGTATTTGATACTTGGACTCCAGGTTGAACTATGGGTATTAGCTGTCCATTTTCTTGGTTCAGAACATATTGTTGCTGAGGTAAGAGTTGAAGAACTGTTGGTTGTCGAACTGTCATAAGGGGGGCACTGGCAGCAACACTGACTACAGGAGGGAGGACTGTAGATTGCGCGGCAGAAGTCATGGTTGTGGATGTGGACAAAGTGACAGAGGCAACGGGAGGAGGTACTGGGGGAGGTGCGCTCGTAGTCGTCAGCGTAGGTGGCGGCACATTCAAAGCAGGAGGAGGTCCACCAGCCTGCGCAGCACTCCATTGAGCCAACTCAGCTCTTATAGTCTCTATTAAATTCTGCGCCAACGACCGTGCGGCAGTCAGAGACTCCGATCTCGTGTGCTGGAGAACTAAGTGTAGAGGTTCAAATTTCTCACTTTTTAGAGTCGCTAGTACGCCTGTTTCTGATCGGATATATTCTAAATTTGTTCCATTCTGCAATACAAGCATGTAAACTAAGTATTATTGAATATTACAACAGGAAATCTTTAGTAAATTTAGATAAACTCACAGGGCCGAGAATGCGTCCTTTTATGTCGAACGCAGTAGGAGCGTTGTCCAAGCCTATGTATACTTTATCTATAAGCCCACCGGACATTATTATTGGAAGAGCAATTCACTTTTACAGAATGTTTACAATTTTTTTAAAGAAAGCATCTTTGCAAACCAGCCGCAGCAAAATAACTTTCATTGCGTTGCTAGAAATTTGTTAATGTTGTGACAGCAGGATAGCATAACACAAATTTTAAAACGAATAACAAAGATGGAGTGTGTGAAAACTTTCTCCAATTTAAGCAATGGAACGCGCGGCAAGCGTTGGCATTACATCCTTATTTTCGTTCAAAAACTGAATCATGAAATTAAAAACTTCAAGAAAAATCATTACATATATATACTAAATCATGACTAAATCTATGATAACATACTTATCGAACAAGGTAATCGTGTTTGCCAAAATTTTCGCTATTAATGTTGGCTGCCAAGTCAGCCATACTTTCTCTCACGCTGGCCTTTACCTTCGCGTCTTCACGTCAATGGTAGTGGGAGGAGGTACAGTCAAGAGCACGTCAAGCTTGACACTTTGTAATTTGGACCGTTCTTATCCTAAGCGGCATAGAGTTGGATTTAAATCTTAAGTGTCATGCTTGACGTACAACCCTGTACAATGTTTTTATAACATCACTGACTACAGCTAAAATAGATGTTTTTTACATAATTAAAATTAAATAAATATAATATACACTGCGCTTCACAGATATAGAAACAAAATAGAAAATTGAAAAATGAATTTGTTTCTTCGGATAGAAATAGTTTCATTTTCTAATGTTTAGCAGTGATGAAAATCTATGTAAAAACTCGAAAAACCTTAAAACTTGTATGAAAACGATATTTTGCCTCAAGAATTAATTTTGGTTCGAGTTTTTTTACGGAGACATGTAAAATATTTAACCTAATTATTTATTCTATTAAAATTCCAAAAAATTCTTATTTACTTCTCTTTATACATTTTACAACAAAACCTTACATTAGTGACATAAGACAAACTTCAAATGTGTTAAAATGATATTATTTCCTCCCACGCCTGCACATCAAGCTACACATTGACGTATCTAGTTCCGTTGCAATGCACGGTGATTCACGCTCCATACTAAGGCGGTCATAAATACGTAACTCCGAAATTATTATTATTTTTTTATTTTATTACGTTAAAATATGATTAGGTAAACGTAAATTAATAAAATTATACATTTTAAAAAATATTTGACAATATTTAGGTGTAAAAATGTCTCGCAGTAATTTTGTTTTTAGACGATGTATCTAAAACATTTTATACTGCGACTTTTAATGGTAAAACTGTGTAAATAATGATTATTTGTATTAACAATAACCACAAATGAATAAATTAAAACAATAAAAATACATAAAAAAGTTCATTTTACAAAATACAAACAAAACACAAATTATACCAAAATACATTAAATCTCAACAATATTAACTTTAAATACATAACAAGTCTAATACAGCTTTTGACAGTACACCTTTTTTTTTAACAGGTAACTTTCGTAGACCTGTTATGAAGGGATCTGAATGAAGAAGCAGCCTATTTACTAAATCTGTGTTGGTCACAATGCGACTCATTTTACGCGTATGATTTTTTCTAAAAGACTTGATGTATTTGTTAGTCGCTTCAGCTGCTTCTTCAGACAACTCTCCGATTGACAACAAACCGTAATCTATAACATTAGCACCATGAATTAGAACTTTGTGAACGGAAGCAGGCATGTTATACCACGGATACTCGGCAACTAACTGCCGAGCCGTCTCTAAAGCGAACTCTTCGAAGTTCGTCTTATTAATATTATATCCCGAATTTAAACATTGAAGGATGATCCAGCAACGATCTAGGAGATCCTTCTTGATCCCAGTAATTTCAGCGGAAATTTCTGAATTCGAGAAAAACCGCCTGGCTGTATTACCATCGTTTGATGTTCCGCTTCCGCCACTTTTAGGCTTATCCACTATAAGCCCTAATCTTTCTCTAAATTGAGTCTGAACATATGATTTTTTTGCAGCAACAAGCATTTTGTCATTAGCGGACCTAGCTTGCCATTTCCTAACATCTAACTTGTACGCGACATGAACAAAATATTCAAAAAAACGTATTAACGCGTGAAGAGGTGATAAACCAAATTCATATTTACTCTCATCGACTTCCTTATTTAAACATTCGTCAATTTTGTTCATTTCACTGGGCAAGGCGTTACATATAAAACATTTTGATGAAGAAACACCACTAAGTGCATTACACACTTTACCATCTACCATAGTAAGTTGCAAACAATGAGTAATGCGATATTCGCGATCTTCTTCCTTGAAAACAGTAGGCTGCAAGTTCCTTATTTTATCTTTAAAATGAGCTTCTTCCTCAACTGACACTGCAGTCGATTCCTTCAAATATCGGAGGCGTATAGGACGACAGTATCGAGTTGATGAAGGACGAGGATTTTTCCACAAAACTACTGAATTTTCTTTGTTATCTGTTGTCAAAACAAGCTGAAGTGGCACATACGAAGTAACAAACAGGCTACTGTCTTCAAGAGTGGAGTCAGAAAAACACTGTTTATATTCTGAATGCCCTGTACTGCCATCGAAACCCCATTTCCCTATCAAAGATATCTTATCTAGAGACTCATTAGGTACACTATCCAAAACATCTTTTTGAGACTTGAGAATCCGATTGGCAGTATGATCTAATAAACTTTGAAGTTCGACTTCGGCGGATGATTCTGTAACAGTAATATCTGAAGGATAACAGTGTTTTTTAGATTCCACGACACTTTGGTAAGATGGGAAAATGGTTTTTGAAAACTTATTGTCTATAAATTTCTTTACTAATATATATTGATGTCGAGTTAACTGAGCTTCAACAATGAGCGATAAAACTTCGCTAGAATCGATTTCAGGACAAGACAAGCTATCGGACGCATTGAGCAATGACTGTACAAGAGAAGGGTCTTGGTTAGACAAACTAGCCAATCTTCTCCTTTTTGTACGTTTACTGGTGTCGTCAAAGTTAATTCTCGGACGGCCATGCGATGAAGAAGTTGATGGTTTAACTTCGTCAAAGCTCTGAGATACACGTAACTCAGTTCGCTGTACATCAATATTTTCAACGACATGCAGCCAATCTGAATATTTTTCTAAGAATTTAGATCTAGTACGATTCGACTTTGCCCAGTAGTGGGAAATTCGTTTACAAATATTCTTAATTTTAAGGCTTAAAGTCTCTAAATCAATATTTTCGATGTCGTCAGAAAGGGATGATGTTTCGGTCAAAGTGCTCAGGACGTGTTGCATTTTTTCATTTGGATTACCCACTTTAGAGTGCCAAATATCAAAAATTGTCATCCTCGATACAGAACATTTGAAAAATGTACCTAAAACAATATGAAAGCTGAACTTAAAAAAAAATTAAAAATTCAATACTATGGACATGCATACTTTGACACCCCTTTAAGCCAAGAAGAGGCAGCAAGATGCAAATGAAACTTATAGCTCTTAATAAGGACATATTCTTTATTCAAAAACCATATACCTCAGGTGCAGCTCAGCGCAGCCAAAAGTTGTAGGTCTAAAGGAAATTAAGTTATGCCAAAAATTTTCACCAAAAAACTGCCTTCAATAAAAAAATTATATAAAAAAAAATATGCATAAAAAAAATTAAAAAAAATTGATAATAAAAGTACATACCATGCTCTTGGATCTCCATGCTTTCACAACACGTAAACACTTGATTTGGAATAGTGACACTCAAAAACAAAGTGATTAAGTTTCGATGACTCACACGTGGTGATAATTAGTCTCGCGATGCGCTCACTTCCGATGCACAAAAGTGAATGATAACGTGACCTAATTACATTGATATTTATAGTTTTTGGAAGCTTGTTAACTAGTTACTAACTTAGTGAGTTGATCTAACCGGGATAAGCCAATGATTTTTTTTGATTTATGGCCTATGGGGGAATCACAGTGCAATGGAGGCGATTATCGAACAAAAATGTGTAGTCTGATGTGCCGTTGTCCGTGCGTACAAGTACTACTTCAAAAACACTGCCAACATGTTTGCCAACAGCATGTTAACAAACATGTTTCTAATTATCGCTGAGCTTCGAGTCCATAGATGATCACTATGTTCGAGTGGAATGGTTTATGAACGGAACTTCTTAATGTCAAATTTTAAAATTGAATGTTCGGTTCGCGTGTGCACGTTTAAATTAATTATTTTAAATAAATACTTTGAACATCAAATGAAAGCACTTTCCAATAATGAGTAGAAAATAATAAGCAATAATTTGCAATTTAACAAATTTACTTTTAGAAGTAAGTGCATAATGGAAGAGCCAATTTTGCGATATGAAAAAATCGACTTCCTAGGAGAAGGACAGGTTCGTATTCCTTAATTTGTTACATTTTGCTTTATTTCTTTCGTCAGAACATTATTTTCTTTGTAACATTCAAATGAAGAAAATTTATTGCACATGTAAATTAAACAATAAGTAATAATACATTTAAGCCAGTGTTTGTAATGTTTTTCTGCTAATACTATTACTTACATTAACCCTTTCACGTTACAATGACTAAAAACCTTGTAATAGTCTTGTATAAAATTTCTATTTTTTTTTCAGTTTGCCACAGTATATAAAGCCCGAGATGTTAAAACAGAAAAGATAGTGGCAGTAAAAAAGATTAAAATTGGATCAAGACTGGAAGCTCAAGATGGTATTAACAGGACTGCTCTTAGAGAGATTAAGCTGCTACAGGAGTTGCAGCATGTTAATTTGATAGGATTATTAGGTATGTTGTGTATTGGGGTTTGTGACTTTGGCATACTTTTTTATATTACTACATAAACATATCATCAGGGTTTTGTTGAAATTTCAAATAATTTTTCAGGGGCCACATTTTAGGTTTTAACAACTGTTTTAAAATATATATTTTTTTATAATATCAAGTAAGTTAAAAGTAGTAAGGTAGTGGTAAGCTACACGCCTGTCCATAACAGTTGCAGTGCCACTCAGAGCTTCAAATCGCAAAGATCTGAGGGGCACTGCCACTGTGCCCGTCACCCTGAGATATAAGTTGACAAGTCCCATGTGCCTGTAATTTCACCATCACCCTTACCCTACAAAACCAGAAGACAGTAATGCTGGCATTATTGCTTGGCGGCAGAAATAGGTAAGTAAGTAAGTAAGGTAATATTTACGTCCTGTTTTTAAATTCAATTTTGGTTTTTATTCAATTTAAGTTTTAGAATTGAATTTGAAATAGGATGTAAATAAGATAATAAATGTTGTAGCGATTACTTATTTAAAATATTATTAAGAATTTATAATAAATGTAATTGCTGTTACTTTTGAATAAATAAATAAATAACATCGTTACTTGACGATGCGCGTGCGCAGGTTTTTTAACAGCCAATGTACCTGGACCCATCTCGCGCTGTTGAATAACGGTACTTTCTTTTGTTACTTAAAAAACAATAGTGTGTCATTTCTATTATATATAGCATAATTCCCCCTAATGTAATAAAAAAAATACAAGATCGCTCTCGCGCAAGTTACGCCCCGTCATGCTAGCCCTATTGACATTACTGACACGAAAGATTTAATTTATTTAATCTCTTTTGTCTGCAATTGCATTGGCTCTATATTGCAATTGAAAAGCACTGCTGCTTTGCAATAAAAATACCTAGAATACATAGGCTGGATCTGGACAGATTACCCTACCAGCAGTAGCCTAATTTTTCAGATAACACATGCTCTTATATAAATTTTGTAAATCTAATTTTTGTTCATTACAGACGTTTTTGGACAAAAATCAAATGTGTCACTAGTGTTTGATTTCATGGACACTGATTTAGAAATAATAGTTAAGGACAATCACATTGTACTTACACCTGCCAATGTTAAGGCTTATATGATTATGACATTAAAAGGTAAGAATCAATTGGATTTATTTTTCGTACTTCCTTGATATTCTACTATTATTATAATAACAGATTGGAATAGGCAGAATATATTCACCTAAACTTCTAGTAATAAACATAGAATGGATAGTACCTGAAATCGCAAAATGAGAAAAAATTTTAGGCAAAAAATATTATTTACAAGTTATAAATAGTAAACAAAATAGTTTTAGTCAGTCAGTTGTAACCATGAGACCTGTAAAGCGCCCAAAACTATTGTTTGCTAGAAAAAAAAAGAGTACCTATGCGCAATTCGAGATCTGAAAAAATAGATTTTATAAATTTTTTGGTTGACCTTGAACTCAATAGTTTTAGTAACAATTCCAAACTTTGCTTATTACTACACTACCATACTGAAATAATTGCTAGTTACACATAACCTCCTTAGACCCCATGTACAAAAGGCACCACATCAAGCTGTACATTGTCAGAGCATGTTCCGTTACCCTGGAAGCAATATTTTAATAAAAATGTACAGCTTGATATAAATTTGACTGTACTTTAACAAAATCTACATAATATGTGACATGATTCAGATCCAGATTCTGTTATTCCTATGATCACAAAACATCCAGTGTACATTACAATGAAAATGTCGCATTCAAATTTAGCACTATATTCCATTTATCTATAAAGACTAATAATCTATATGCGTTTTTCATACAAAACTAAGGTCATCCTTGCTTGCGCCTGAAGCAGTACAATGTAATTATATGGGCGTTTAGCGTGTTATCATTGTAGATTGCTTAGAAGGTCAAAATTAATATAAATGTGATAAGTCCGGAATTTCAGATGAAGGTATTATCCACTCGGCATATTCCAATGTCTAATATAATTTACTTGGTCAATTATGGTGCTTAAATTGTTCAGTAATACACTCTTCATCTAATAATTTAATTAGCAATTAGTACAAATTTTGAATTTTAAGTCCTTTCAGAACTGACTTGTCTGGAACACATGTGATAACACCATTAACATACTTGTTAACAGGCTTGGAATACTTGCATCAAAACTGGATACTGCACAGAGATCTAAAGCCAAACAACTTGCTCATAAACAAGGAAGGAATATTGAAGATTGGTGACTTCGGTCTGGCAAAGGCATTTGGCTCTCCTACTAGGATAAACACACATCAAGTGGTCACCAGATGGTACAGGTTAGGAATGATAATATTTCATCACATCTGTTAATCGACAGCCTAGAGCTCTAGGGCTCGTATTCCAGAACTTTATTGAATGCTCAAGTCAGGACTTGAGTATGATTTAAAGCAGGAGAAATCATACTCAAGTCCTGATTTGAGCATTGAGTAGAGTTCTGGAATACGACCCTTAGAGTGGGTCTAATTTAACTGCCTCTGTGGCTGAATGGTTACCATGCCAGACTGCCACGCAGAGGTCCCAGGTTCGAAACCTGCGCCAGGAGAAATATTTGTATGGCCAATATTTATATCTCTCGTGAGTTTGAGTGTAATTTGTGATTGTCTATGTGTGTGTCCATTGCACCCGCGACACAGTATTTCCCTAGTGCGAGGCTATGTTAAGTGAGTGTATTAATTAGAAAAGGAGCAACCATACTTGACAACGATGTAGGTATAGCTGAGGAAATATTACTTGCACTGATGAATGTTACAGCTTGAAACAGATTATACTTTCTATGACAATAGGGTAATAAAGCATTAATTACACTTCTTTTACTTAAAGTGTACATGAACGTAATGATCTTGGTCCACCGACGACGTGTTATGAGAGCTGGTGCACTAAGCGCTTTTTCTGAATTTTAGTTTCGAACTGTTTCTTTACATATCCAAGTCGTTTTTGTAAACTGTGGGTATATGTTTGCACTATATAGATACTACATACGTTACCCAGACAGCTCAATCTTTTGCCCTATTGTACTCTAAAGATAAAGCGATAAGACGAGTTGGTGTTTCGTCAACTATAACATTGCAATCTATATATATTCATTTAATAGATTAAAAATAGACTAATTCTACCTAGATCAAGATTAATTCTACATTCGTCTAGGCCATACGTCATGTTCACAAAAATGTATAACAAATTGCCTGGTCTAAGTAAATCTGATCTTTGTATTAATAATTAAAACTAAAAGGTTTATGTAAAACTCCAAAAACTTTGAAAACACTTTTATTGTGCGTATTTATCGTTAAGATCACAAAATTGTTGCATTACAATAGGTTTATACAAAAAACAAAAACTTGCACGACGCGTGCGACAACTACGCGATCAAGGATTTTCGCCATCTTGCGGTTCGATCCACGAGAGGCGAGTATATGGTGGCGTCCAGCCAGCGCCGAGCGCGGCAAAATTTTGATCGCTTCGAGTGCGGATTTACAGCTCTATACACAATAATACTCAAGCAAATCAAAACAAAACAACAATAAAGTATGTTTCTTCTTGACTGACATAGACAAGAAGATTTCACATCAGACCAAAAATAATCTGTATCCACAGATCACCGGAACTTCTATTCGGCGCTCGACAATACGGTACAGGTGTGGACATGTGGGCCGTGGGCTGTATATTAGCTGAACTACTACTCCGTGTGCCTTTCCTGCCAGGCGAGACTGATCTCGACCAGCTGTCTCGCATCTTTCAGGTCTTTGGCACGCCTAATGAAGAAAATTGGCCCGTAAGTGTTTGGTTATTCAGTAATAATTAAGACGGCTTTAAATAAGATAGTGTCTCCTACTAGTAGATTGCATTATAAATAATAATAACACATCACACAAAATTGTAAACTTTACGTAAAACTGTTGAATCACTAAAAAAGAACGATGGCAAAATCATAGTTAAAAGAATTCGTTAGCGTCTTCAAATGTCTTAATTACAAGTTTGAATAAAATAAATTCATTAGGTTTTTCAAATTATAATAGCGGCCTATCTAAGTCTGGAAATAAAATCATATTTAAAAGAAACTCTAATGACTAATTAGTATGTAACCGGACTGATATCTACAACTATCAATTTTTTAACGTTGAGCAACATCTAGAAGCCAAAAAAGGAATTTCAATACCTACTTATGGATAATAACCACCCGAGAAAATGGTAAAACTGACAAAAAGTTTCCAAAATCAGGGATAGATGGCACGTTTCACAAAAACATAATTTGTGTTCGAGTTGCTAGTGCAATATAGTCTATGGTATGCTATTAATTAACTGAGTTTTTTTGTTATGGCTTAACTTCATGCCTTTTGACCATACCAGTACATATACAAAATAATTTCTTCTGAACTTTCGTCACGTCACAAGTCCACGGCACCATTCAGCTTTTATTAACTATGGTTAAGGCTTTTGTAATTTATTTTGATATAATAATAAACCGAATATATTTTATCCAATTACGTAACACTAAACTTCAAACAGGAATAACTTTAATTCCTGAGTTCCCAAACTAGTAAACACAAAACAAAATTCGTTCAGGACTTTCAACTCTATATCCTCACATATTTTTCATAAACTGACGCATACAAATTATGTCAACAAAAATTTATATAGGAATTGGCCAATGCCCTTTGATATGTTCCTGAATTATAAAGGTATGTACAAATAGCAGAAGCTATAGACTTCGTGATACAATGCGCCAAACGAAAACGGTCGCATCGCATGCAGCGGACTAAAAATAAAATTGTCGACAACGCTACATGCCTATTTAAAATCTTACGAAAACTGACAACCCTGCAAATGTCATTTCTCCATCTTCAAAAAAGACCGACTATTAATGTGTCTGTTATAGATCTTTGTATTGAGTTTTTTCGGCTTTCGACGCCGTAAGCGACATCTGTGATTGTGTTTGTTTAATCGTTGTGTCAATAGTGACCACTGTCATGCCATGTTGTATAGTAAATCAAGCACACAATATTTATACTAAAATCTAAAATAATGAAGGTTCAATAGCAAATAAAAATGGAAGTAAATGAATTTGCTACTCCGCGAACCCAGTGGAGGTTAAATCGTGAAAATAGCTGCGCTTGTGTTAAATATTTTTTCATGCAGTTAATTATCCCACCCTCCCCCGCATAAAATTAATAAAATAAATAACACAAACTACAGTTACAAACTACCACCAAAAATATACCCGACACGTGTTTCGCCTCTCCATGTGGCATTCTCAGGGGCTGTTGACTGCTCGACACTCAGCCAAAGACTCTTCTTCACTGGGTTCGGGGAGTAGCAAATTAATTTACTTCCATTTTTATTAACATGGACTTCCGCAAAGTAACGCCTTAATCCTTCCATCCAGTAATTGGTTCAACAGCAGCTTGGTGGCGCTAGCGAGACGCATGGACTTCATAATGTCCCATTTTGTTGCAGGGTCTAAAGAGTCTCTCAGACTACGTACAGTTCAAGCAGTTCCCGCCCCAACAGCTGCGGCACATCTTCAGCGCGGCATCAGACGACCTTATCCAGCTGCTGGAGAGCCTGTTAGCGCTCTACCCGCCCAGCCGCTGCGATTGCACGCAAGCCCTGCAGATGCCTTACTTTAGGTGAGTAAAGGGTTTTTCGCTCAATACAACCGGGTTATACTTAGCACAAGATTACCGATGACAAGAACTGTTGAATAAGACATTCACACATACAAACAATATCTAGTGAAAATATTTTACTCTAAAACCAATAATGAGTATGGGGATATTGATTAAATTTTTATGACAATCTCCTTTTTATTTGTTTCAGTAATAAACCAGCACCTACGGTAGGCAACAAGCTGCCGCTACCGACAAACATCACAAAAGTCGAGCAAGAGAAACCCTCCCTGAAGAGGAAACTTCTGGAAAACATTGATGGAGGCACCCTTGCCAAAAGGCTGCAGTTTTGATCACTTCCGAACTATATTATAGTTGGACTCATATGTTACAGTGAGCACTCACTTTCAAAGGATGCAAAGAAAGGGGCTGTTGCTTATTTTACTTATGTTACACCACACGCAAAATAGGCGCTTTGTCGTCGAGTTGCGGAAACCAGCCCGTTGCACCAAGTACCAAGTACTTATTTTATGATTATTATATTAATTTGGGAAAAAAATTAGGCCCGGCGTCCATTGGCAGCACGACAAGGGAACCTTCGGCATCCTATGTGCAAGCGCACACTGACGGTAATTATGCCGTGGTATCCTTACGCATATCGCAGCATCCTTAGACTTGCCGCAGTATATTTAAGTACGCCGTCCATCCTTAGGATTGCCGAAACATGCCATCTACTACTAACAGCCGTTCCTGCCCCCTCCTCTACACTGCAGTCACACTCGGCGTTTTGAAGCCTGCCAAAGTATGATGATGCCGAAGTATTCCGTTGGTTGCTGGCTCGGTATCCCTAAGCTATTTGTATTGTCATTGAAATGTCCCTTTCTATACCGTAATACCATTAGACAGTTCCATTGATGGTACAGAGGCAATTTCTTGTGCCGTCGTTCCATTACGTTGATAGTTCCATGGCAAATGTTGTTCTTTGTTGTCCATAGTATTTACAGCAAGCAATTAAATGATAGGGACCAGAAACAAAATGTAAAGAGTTTTTAAATTTATTTAACGAATTTAATTATAACAACTTATTTGAAAAAAAAATATCACCAAGTCAAATCAAATTAAATAAAATGAAAAGAAAGTTTTAAACCTCTAAACTCTCAACTACAACGCCATACAATTAGGGTATATTATTGGTCACATGAAAATCCCTTGCCATGCCGTCCCATCAGTGGGCGCCGGGCCTTAATGATTGTCTAGAAAATAATAAGGTGAAGATAATAACTAGTCCTATTGAAACAGAGTTCTCTTAGAATTTTGTCCATATAAAACAACCTTAAAATAGCTTTGTTCACCTTAATTTCAAATCTACGACTATATGATTGGTCAATTTAAATCTACTCCATTTGTGACGTGGATACAGTATTAGACTAGAATATTTAAGTTGACCAGTCGTGATTGGGCTTTAACAATCGGAAACTTTTATCCAAGGAAGTGACAAATCAAATTATAAAGGATATTATAATAGTACAATGATGTGCAATTTTTATGTGACCGTGATGATTCTCTCAGTTGAATAATAATAAAAAAGCAGGACTTTTATAAGTTGTATGTACAATTCACAATATGTTGTACAATTTAACTTCTGGTACAATTCAACTTCAACATGTTGTACAATTTAACTTGCAACATGTTGTACAATTCAAGACTATCTAGATTTAAGAAAAGAAGTTCGATGGAGCTACATTTTTGTTCAATTCCCGTGGAATTTGTACGAGTATTCTTTTCAGGAGTCCTGTTATATTCACGATCACAAATCGTTTCCATGTCGAAAAGAATAACGAGAGCAATGGAATTAGACGTAGCTATTTTGTAAGATTTTATAGCGTAACAGAAATAAATACGACCATTATATAATAAAAGGAAAATATATTCTCTCATGGTGTTACTTAATTTTCTATCCACCAGAATTTACCATATAACATTTTTTTTTGTAAAATTTAGTTTCCCAAAATGAGATGGTATACAAAAGAATATCAATAAAAAAAAGAAATCTATTTATAAACATTGTAATATGGGCCACTAATATAATAAAAATGGCGACTAACATCGATAATCGAACATGTTCGAAGTTACAACTACATTTGGGATAATATTTTCACACTAATGTAGAAGGCACAGCGTCCTGAACACATGACGGCACTACGTTACTCATAATTACAATGCTACCTGTTGTGGTGTACCTGTGAATAGAAACATATTATTATTGTAGTGAAGATAGTTAGATGCCCTCGTCATTTTGCGGAACTCTATCTTCTGGAGAGAGACGGTACATTTCACAATTTTCCCACGTTTGAGTTTAATATCGGGACTTAATCGTGTATAAATAAATTTTATTTACCTCGACGTTTCGGAAGTGTTGCAATGTCTATGGTCTCTAAGTGCATAAATAAATGATGCGGGTAGTTAAAAAAAACTCCACGGCTAGAAGATGTTGACACCCGCATTTAAAGTCCCGATATTAAATTAAAATAATTTAAGGTTATGTATAATTCCGCATTATAACCGAAAATTACTCGTTATGACAAAAAATACAATATTAATCCCACTTTCTATATTTCGATCAATTATTGAAATAGTTCTTTTCGTGATATCGAGCCATGAGGCCCAACAAGTCGTGCGCCTAGTGGCAAGCGACACGCCTACTTATAATAATTGCAGAGCTTTAAACTGAAAATATCTGAGGGGCCATTGCAGTCGTCACTCTGGGACAAAAACACGTCCCGTGTGCCTGTAGTTCCACCAGCGCAATTACCCTTCAAAACCGGAACACAGTAATGCTGACATTACTGCTTGGCGGCAGAACTCTTTCACAGTGAGCTCTCATCATTTCAGTTGAAAGACGTCCACTGCTGAATATAGGCTACCCTCAAAGCTTGTGCTGTATCCAGCGGATACCTGTAACCTTCACCAGCAGGGCATCGGTCCACCTTGTGGGTGGTCTACCCACGCTTTACCTTCCGCTACGCGGTCGCCACTCGAGGACTCTTTGTCCCATCGGTTACGTGTTCTGCGAGTAATGTGCCTCGTCCACTGTCTGTATACTGTATTTCATATAGTATTTTGGGCTATCTCGGTTACTCTAGTTCCTTGCTGATATCCTCCTGCCCTTTGGGCAACCTTGAGCCTTCTTATGAAGCCTATAGTGATTGACAGTGATGATGAGGACTCTTCTCCACATGAGCTCTACTGCTACTGAATTATAGGTTCAAGATTCATAATAGAGTTTCCGCTATGATAAATTTTGGCGTGAATGTGATTAAGGAATAAGTAACAAATCCTACGTTATGACGCAAACACACCGATCCAAAAAAATATGATAAATACTTAGAATAATAACGCATAGAATGATAGTTTCAAATCAAACGAACTGTCACAAGTGAGGCAAAAATCAAATTCATGTAGGCTAGTTTCAGTAGTAGGTTAATTTTGGGTTTTAGTGAATATTTATATAAAAATACAAGTTGAAACGCGTTACTTCCTTGTGGAATGTGATGTTAGTACCTATTTTATGTTTGTCTGACGTATTTTCACACTCATTTACCGCACATTTTGTCATTTTTAGATAAAATTCTTGATCTGTTCGCGGTGCAAGTTGACCTTGAGCACTGACGGCCCGCCCGCTCGTATATGCCCATTGCGAGCGCTTCAATTTGCCTCACTTAGCGTGTGCGGACTAGGTTTCTATGCGTTATTATTCTAAGGATAAATACCTAAAAAATAATACGTAAGAAAGGTACTGACGTAATCGTTTACCATGGTGTAGAAGCCGCGCGGTTGCAGCGAACGACGTCTACGCACCAAGTTTACCTGGTGCGGGTACATCACCATGTCTCGGCACTCAACGGCGACGCGAAGTTCTGGACATATTATATATTATTTTGAATTAACATCCTTAATTATTATTAGTCTATTTATTCAGCGTCATAGTCAGATATACACAATACTATTGGCACAGTTTTGGTGTTACCTCATTTTTGCATAATTATCGACATCGACAGTATCGATTATTCAATGACTGTTACAGTTTTGACCATTTTGACTGAGCTTTGATTGAAGGTAAGTTTTCTTGTTATCATAGTTTTTTACGGCTTATAATATTAGTCGCTAGATGCACTATTTATATACATGCGATTAGTATGTGTTTACTGGTTAATTAAAAATCAATAAGTCATTTACATTTATCTGAAACTTTGGTCCTGGGACAGAATAGGCAGGGCAGATTGAGCCCCATATCGGGGTAGAATGGGCTAGGGGTCAGTCCGTCCCATTCCGTATTCTTAATTATTTTATGAAAGCTGATCTTACGCAACTTATTCCCTACGATTGTTTTAGATGGTGTTTAATTACGTAAGAAAAATCAACAGGCAATGCTGCTCGACAGATAGAGCTTGCTGTGGATGCTGTCATAAAAAACAAAATGGGGTACAAAAAAGCCAGCGCTTCCTATTCCGTACCTAGAACTGCTTTACAAAGATATGTTAAGAAAAGACTTCAGATTAATCTGTTGGAAAAATTCACCTGGTTTTTACTGCCGACCAAGGATCAGAAGTTGTTTCAAAATACATTTATTTATAGAAATGCAAAGAAGTCTATTTGGAGTTACAATGAAAGAACTATGCTCGTTTGTATTTAAACTTGCTGCAAACATCCCTTTAATACAGAAACTCAAATGGCAGACGGTATTTATCGCAAGTAAAACACATTTTCACTTTTTTGATTTGGTTGCTCATTCTGCCCCACGGTACGGGGCAGAACGAGAATTTTCGCATTAAAAAAAAATCACCGAGATATTACTGTTTGTTCTTAATGTTTGTGCAATTATTATATTCCTAAAACAATAAATATATGATTCTATGACTTGATTTCTGATGTTTTCTTTTACAGAGCCCTTAATTTGATGTTAAACGTTAGGGGACTCATTCTGCCCTGGTTTCCCTTACACTCATCACATTTGAAATTCTGTGGCAGGTACAAACATTAAAACGCCACATTTAGATTCTTCATTAAACAATGCCCGGTTACAGTAGGGTAATGAACAACTCTGTGAACTTTGCCAATATCAGAAATGTTGACAAATTATTCTCAAGAATATCGGTAGTATAATGGGACCTTACCATCGTCCAACTGATGTTCAGTATGTTTGCGAGTATGCTCAACTTTGTGTGTCATCTTCTTTTTGGCAAACTGCACATATAATTTTTCCATTTGTTGCGCATGTTACTTCTTACATCTAATTTTACGTTTTATCTGCTTATGTCGTCACACTTTCTGTAGGCAAACACAACATTTTAAGTTGATGTAAGTTAATGGTTGATTAATTTTGATCAGTGTTTATAATGTTCAAAGAGCCAATTCACAGCGCAATTATTTGTTTTGGAATAAAAAATACAGACATTGTGTTGGCCTAAGAAAGAGCTAGGCACCAACGGATTCCATGAAATGGTCTGAGAACATTACAATTATTTAATATTTTTATTTCATAAACAGGTATATGTGGCGTGTTTCTTTTGTGTCCACATTTTATCAAAATATGTAATTAATAAGCCCCTTATTGACTTTATAAACACATATATGTGACGCCCAGCAGAGATCCATATTGGTTTCGTCTAATCATCACTATTCATAATATTTGTATTCATTACTTTTTATTCATAAAATTGTTATTTATAAGCATTTCGAATACCTGAGTAAGTCACGCTATACATAACACAGGCGGATATGAGTAACTCATAATGTAATTTATTATAATAATAAATTTATTCCTATAGGAATTTAAATATATACCTACTTACTGAAAGAAGGTACGTTTGACCTATTGTCATAAGTGTCACAATAGTTTGGACGACCTCCATAGTCGAGTGGCTTCCACACCGGTTTTCATGGTGTCGCCATCTCTGAGGTCCTGGGTTTAATTGGTCTCTTGTGGTACCGTCGTTGTTACCGATTTTCATAACACAAGTGCTTCAGTTACTTACTCCGAGACCGGAGCAACATATGTAATGTTGTCTAATATTTATTTAGTTTAAAGCATGGACCAATAACACAAGAGGACTGCTAATCACGATACAAGACAGCGTAGTCGTGTATATAGTACCTATTGGGTACCAGTGGCGGATTTGGCCCTAAGGCCCAGTAGGCCCGGGTCTAGGGCGACCAGATTTTAGGGGAGGCCAATTGTGACAAAAAATTACTCAAAGTATTATTAAATATTTATATATATTTACCTAAATATTCTAAAGGCTCACGCACATTATGGCGGGCCGCACCGCACCGCATCGTATAACAATCTTCCTAATTCACTGTCGTACATTTAATGTAGAAAATTTATATATCTATAATGTAATGTATAATCTAATCACTACATATTATCACTACAGCGTCTGTCTGTCTGTCTGATCGCGATAAACTCAAAAACTACTGAACTGACGGTTTTCACCATAGATATAGTGTTCACCATTAGACAGAGTGATTGAATTAGATGAAGTGTATAATTTATTTAGGTTTTGTGAAAGTTGGCCTGTATATAACCTTAAATAAATAATATAAAATAAATGTTGGAGATGTCGGAAAAAATCATGCCGGCTTAGCGCTTTACTGACGTGCACCCCGAACCTAACAGAGGTAAATCAAATCGATGTTCTAGAAAAATATTAAAAGTATTAAATTTCTGAATCGATTTCGATAAAAGTTGGCAGTAAAGTAAATTCATTATGTAGTCTACCAATATATGATGAGTGCTGAGAAAGGGGCGGCTGGTAGGTACTGACTACATGGCCTGAGGCCTAGGGCGGCCAAGACTGTAAATCCGCCACTGATTGATACACTTATACGGTATTGGTACTTTGCTTAACACAGTCAACACTTGTTGCTACTACTGTTTGTAAAAAGAAAATGACCATAGAACGTTACCTTTGGTGAGCTAGAAACAACTGCGAGGCGCCCGTAGACACCATATTTGCGTTCATCTTCTGGTCTAAGCGTTCCCATTTTTTTCATAACTAGGTAGATCTAAATGTACAAACAAATGCATTTGTTACCCGAGTTTCTGCTAATATTTCACGTTATATACTCGTTAAATTAAAATAAAATTTTGTGATGGGATCTATTATTGTAGTGTCTATGGTGCCCGTGTCTGTAGTATGATGCTGAATCCAACTGACTCGATAAACGCTGGTCGAGGCATTACGTTGCTGAACAAATTAGGAGAGAATTACCTGCTCGAGCATCCCGTAGCTGCGTATAAGAAAGTCCCTTTGAGCGAGTAAGTTGACCCGTTCCCGTTCTTCCTTCTCCACTATGGGATCTGGCTCGAAAGAGCACAGCACATAAGGTGGCTTTATTTCCTTTTCGGGTAGCTAAAAGCATTCGAAAATCATTCATAAACTTTGAGCCTCTACCTAAATTAATCCGCCATTGTTATGTAAATTGATCTAACTGGACCTGTATCCTATTATTGTGCTATGTTTAAATTAATCTTTCACTAGTCTATCTAATACTTTACTTTTCCTTGTTGCTCTTTAGAAATTGTGAAAATTGTTCGAATATAAAATAGAATCATGCCGTACCGATTGCAACGCTATTGAAGGTTTTGCCGTTAGCCTATTCCGTTCTCTGTCTTCCTTTTCTTTCTCTTTGCGTTTATCCCTTTCAACTTTGGCCTTGTTTGTCTTAAGTTTTTCTTTCTCATTTTTATCGACTGTCGCAGTTACAGTAGCGGATGTAACTGCTGTAGCTATTGTCTCTTCACTCGCCTTCTTTTCTTCTTTGGACACCTTGGGCCCCATAGTTTGGGACGGTTTTTTAAGCGCTTCTGCTTTGGCTTTCGTTTGCTGGAATGTAGCAGATATACATACTTAACGAAATTATGTTTATTCCACATAAATTGTTTAGACGTTCTGAATAAATTGTTGTCCATATCCCAAGTTGAATACCTTTACCTTTCATCAATCATTTTTAGTGGATATGGTGAACTTTGGATTAGATTCTAATCCAAACGACTTACTTGGAACTCTTCCCTTTGTAAACGCGTGCAGTCGCCGCGCGCACGTGATGAAGCTGTTGCTGTATACAACGAGCCTGAAGGCTGTTGGAACAGCGACGCATACTGTTCTCCAACTGGGTAAACACGTCTGGGAAATATATTACCAAGTTTAACTATACCGAACTATGTTCTTAATTTGAAGATACGGTTTTCGTTTTAGGGATCCATCTGTATTTCGTTTCGGGTCAGGCGTTGCTAAAAGGCTTTAAAGTCAAAAACTTTTGGGACAGTGGTTTTTAGGTATAAAAACATATCAGCAGTTTCTCGAAAAACTTTTCGAAGAATAATACTTTCATTTACCTAAAGTTTCCAAGGTGAGTTTCCTCCCACTGTATTTGCATCTGCCAAGGACTCTTCTCCGGCTCTTTTTCCTCTACAGGAGTATACTCTGCAAATCTGTAAACAATTAAATTAAATAATAACATTTCCGTGAAAGAACTTTACAGCTGCAAATTCCAGGGTCAAGAGTATGTCAAGCTTCAAACTCAAGATTTAAACACAACTCTATGCCGCTTGCGATAAGAACTGTCCAAGTTCAAAATGCCTTGTGCACGTGACATTTGGATCGCATTGGGATTATAAAATAGTTTAATACCTACTTAGTACAATGGAAAAGTCTTGGAAACCAACCATTAGTGTTAAAACATATACTACATAATACAACTGCAGCGGAAACAACGTCTTTTTTTTATCTAATAAATATCAGATATTTATAACATCTTCTGTCTACTAATAAAATTTGAAAGATATTAATGGACGATACCTGTCGCTGAGTAAAAGGCTGAAAGCCGTGGAAAGAGCCGGAGGAGATTTTGAGCCGAAGAATGTGCTGCGGGGAACAAAGAGTAGAGGAGAATATAGGATTTTGTGTAAACGCAGTAGGTACGAAACGTTTCAGAAAGCGATTTTTAAATAAGCCATAAATTATTGTAGTGTTATTAATTATTTTAATACCCCTCCGCTCTTTGCGGCCGCTTATTGACACCACCTATTTTCAAGACTAACTCTTTACACTTTCTTAAATTCTTGTTTGATTTATCTGAACGCAAGCCTTTCAAGTTAATTTATTCACAATTTTAATCAATGCATACCTCCTTTGAGTCAATTGTAATACATAAAAAAAATACTTACTTGAAAAACACACAACATTTAACATCAAACATAAATTCCCCAAAATAACCTTGAAAATGGTCTGAACTAAGTTATCAACTTACTTGTTAGTTTGCAGTAGTCTATCACGTATGCGCTTGCGATCTTCTTCTAGCACGCGTTTTTTATCGCATTGCCAAATGTTTAACATAGTGAAAGTGTCAGTTAGCAACGATTCTTTTACATCCCGGTCGAGCTGCGTGTCAGTGTGGAAACTTGGCGAATGGTTAACCTACGACGACAGGAATTATTTATCTTACAAACAATATAGAATACAGGAGTAGGTAGACCAAATGTAGCAAAAGGTAAAGAGTACTTACTTCTAAAATATAAGGATGAAGCTTATGGTCCAGAAGTATGTCGAATCCAAGTATTTCAAAGCAAGCATGCACCTGAAAGTGTCGTTCACAGCAATATGTAATTCCTCGCCATGTCAGATCTCGTAGCAAGGCAGTACAGTACAATATATGTAGCATAATTACCATATCATGCGATGGGAAACAAGCGTGATAGCTATGCTTGAGGATAGGCCACGCGGAGATAATGGTCTTGACGATGACCTGGTCGATGGAGTGCCACAGTCGGTCCAAATCGATGCCTTGCGACAGCAGGATCTTGTTCAGAGTCGATATCTTGCTGACGCCCCAAAACATAACAAACGATTTAAGACACCACGTATTTAAAATTTGTAATTTTTTTCAAGGCAATAAAAGAGTTATCTCTTCTCGTAGATTGGTCATACCTCCAAGCTAAGGAACCCGTCTTTAGTAGACAGGCATCGAAAGAAATATTGCTTCAACGGGAATGATTTTTACAACAACTTAATCAAAACTTTGATCACACACTCTGATCCGAATAAATAACGGAAATAAATGAAATAATGTTGTTACCGTTTGCTGCCAGCTTCAGAATCGTAGACATAAGTTCGGCTGTGTTTGTTGAGCGCGTAATTCGTTAGATGCATGAAAACGTTTGTGGTGTTGTTAACGTTCGGGTCAGCGTATCGACTCGTTGCGAATCTGAATGAAAGTGAACTCAGTGAGACTCATCTCTTTCTCTTCGTAACTAGATCAATTTTAATATTAGAGGTTAAAGTATGAAATTCCCCATTCATGGTCACTTTGAAATGAAATGAAGTATCTACTTACAGATCAAAAACTATTCAAATACAACTTTGAAAGCTTCTAAAAATGTTGGAGTTAAATCATTTCATTTAATTAATTTACATTCGCTTTAATATATTAAAATTAAATATAGAAACTGCTAAAAGTTTCGACGTGGCTGTAATGTAGCAAATACCCAACAGTGCGTTCGTTGATGGTTTGCTTGACTCCGCAGTGAAATTTGTAAACTGGCAAATGAGCCTCGTTAATGACCCAGGAGCTTTTAGTAAATAATGACGTGATGTGAATAATTGTTGAAGACGATCCTTCACAAACTACAGTGGAATTAGCCGCATGCTTAGATGTAACCCACAATAATGATCCCCAATTATACTGAATGGATAAAATAAATAAATAAATGGATGGGTACCAAATATTATGCACAAATTGTCTCAACTACAACGTGTGGTAAGATAAATTTACATAGGTATTAAAGAGTCTTAAATTTGATATTTGAGCTCAAAACATTATAAATGATTAAAAGAAAACAATTTAATTCCCATGAAGAAGTCGAAAATAACTTAACTTCCTGTTCGCTATTCTACCGCAAAGGAATACAATGAACTTTCAGCAAGATGGCAGAGGTATTATTGAATATATCAATATACATTTATTCAAAGTACGCACCCTTATAGGTATGAGCCCTATACCCTTGCTTGGTGTGCTTATGCTCTTCGGTGGCACAGTGATTCTATGGGCGCTTGATGAGGAGGTTCCAGATTCAATCCCTTATTTGAGCCAATTTATGAAAAAAACCTTTTTTAAGTTGGTCTTGGTCAGGGTATTGCCTTCAGAATTATCGTTAATCTGGTACTCAGAGTACAGGAAATTCCCTAGTTTGAGACCAGAAATTTGAAGTGATTATCTAGCATTTTTTCCCTAAATACTTCTCTTTTTGGCGTAGCTTTCAATAAAAAAGAATCTAATAGAGACACGGTAGAGATACGACAACGCTATAAGTTGTATAAGTAAATAAGATATTATTTCCACTACATCGGGAAGTATGCCTTACATTTTGAACAATTGTGAAATCTATAATCGACCTCGGCACTTATGACTTTAAAAAAATTAACATAGCTCTCTAATGATAAATAAAGGCTATATTGATAAATGGCAAAAAGTAAATTTTGACTGCAAATTATTAAACACCCATAGAGAACCCCACATGTCGATTTTCAGTAGAATTAGAGCAAAATATTATCAACCGCTAAAAAAGTTTGTAAGGCAGCCATATTGAAAAATGGCGAAAAATAAATTTAGACCGGAAGTTATTATTAAACACCCATAGAACCCATAGAGCCGCCCACATGCCGATTTTCAAGTGAATTAGAGCAAATTTTCATTTACCGCCAAAAAATACTTCTATGGCAGCCATATTGAAAAATGGCTATAAATTAATGTTGACCACAAATTATTATCAAGCACTCCTAGAGACTCTCACATGACCATTTTGGAAGGGATCAGAACAATTTTTTTCTACTGTCAACAAACGATTGTATGGCGGCCATATTTGAAAATGGCGAAAAATCAATTTCGATTTGGCACTTCTAAAGGCCTCCCATGCCAATTTTCAGCTGAAACAGAGCGAGTCTCTTTCGGCAGCTATTTTTAACGAAAAAAACACATATGGCAGCCATATTAAAAATGGCGAGAAAAAACTTTTGACTCCAAATTATGATTAAAGACTCCTAAAGACCTCCCGCATGCCAATTTTCTGCCGCATCGAAGCAAGTTTTTCTTCGGCCGCCATTTTGTATTCGCCATCTTGAATTTTTTGTTACACAGGCAGTTGACCACTATTACCCTCTGTGACATTCCTTCTAGTACCTCCTACCTATCTCGAATAGTTTCCGTGATAGAAGACTTCGAAATTTGTATGGCAGCCATCCTGTTTACTTGAATTTTGAACATTTTTTACTTTCTGCAGAAATTGACCAAGGTGTATCTCATAAAAGTGCACATAAATCCCCCATGTATTATAGTTTTTGCAGGCCGTTGATCGCTCGTTTACATTTTCCACATTCATGTCTTCGCATATTTGATTCTTTGCGTTGGAGCCTATCCGCGTATAACGGTATAAATATCTTTTTTCCACTATATCAGGAAGTATGCATTCTATTTTTCTAAGTGAATCAAGATTTGTAGCTTTATACAGGCTGTATATTTGAAAGTGAGACATATTCATACATGTCATAGTAACTCATGTTACAACTTAACATAGACTAAAATAAAATTAGGATATGTGATAGAACAAAAAAGAAATCAACAAAATGTGTTTTGAACTGTACGTACTGTAAACAGGAATAAACCGTTTCCCTTTACGCTTGATTTCGAGTGCAGTGGGAATACTACCAAACGAGCGCCGAGTGAGACAGCAACAATAACAATGATTTCACATTTACGTTTTAGCTTATGTTAATTATTTTTTACTTGAACTATCATCGAAATGTTTTACGTACTACTCGTAAAAAGATGTTTATGATTTAGTAACTATTTATCATTTAATAAGAATTGAGGTTTTTGGCGTAGTTAAAGATGTGAAATCAGATTATTTACAATGATTAATTTTTTTAGTTATTTACAGTTTATTTACACTTACGTGGTACGGAGCAAGTGTTCAAAATCTCCACCGTTTTCCACAATGCATAGTCTTGCACGGCATAGTAAATTTTGTTTTAAATTATACAACACAAACACATTTTGTCTCACAGTATAAAATGCTGAGATAATTTCCTCACGCAACACTTCGACACTGTTCACCTCCTCCGCGTAAACTCCGATTTTGGAACATTTCAATAACTTGCCTCACACTATCACCACTTATTGCGTAAAGTCGCGCCATCTCAGTCAATTCGACGTTAGAATAAATATCCATTTTGCGGCGATCAGGCGAGCGGAAGTACAAATAATTTACGTGTTTTCGTTAGATCAAGGTCGCGCGTGCACTGAGCAATTTCGCGTATGCGCTCGCGCCCTCGCGATACCCCCGACCTGTGTTTTTCGACAATGTTTTTCGCCGCCGTGTCGCCACCCGCCGCTGCGTTGGAGCAATAATAGTGATGTGCACAGATTTCGATAACGAATGTTGTTCTCAAGTAGTAGTCGATAAAAAAAATTAAAAGAATATTTTCTGTAAAATTTAAGTTCATTAGTTTATTATTTCTTTGGTTTCAGAATCAGGAATATAACGTACTCTATAAGTATGTCCCACTTTCAAATATACAGCCTGTATATATAATAATAATGGGTGCGTACTTTGAATAAATAAAAGTTATGTTGATAAACATTTTTTATTTCTCTCCTTGGAATTACAATTTCATACTTTAACCCTATTATTTTGAAAGACGAAGTCAGAAGTTAGGCGTTTAGCTTTGTAGTATAGGTACACACACCAAAAAGTCTAGGGATCCCTGTAGTTTTTTTTTAAATACTTAGTTGATTACCCCATTAAAGTTAAATAAAAATGTCTATACAAATTTATTAAATGTCCCAGTTTTGAAGGGACCGTGATCCTTACGAAATTACAGGCCATAGGACTTATCAACTTATGTGTCAGGGTGACGGGCGCAGTGGCAGTGCCCCTCAGATCTTTGCGCTTTAAAGCTCTGCTTGGCACTGCAAATGTTATTGACAAGTGTGCTCCATCATCTCCATCAGGCGCACGACTTGTTCCGTCCCGTCACTAGATATTATATATAAAGAATTATTTATTATTCGGTTTAGTCTACTCTACAGTGCCAATATATATTCGAATTATCATATATTTTTGTTAAAAATATGTCGACCAGAACGTCGGACCATTCATAAAAGTTTACATTTTTGTTTGAACTTATGAGCAATATTTGAAGTGAGATTTGTTAGTTTCATAACAATATATTCGTCTGTTTCCATCAAACTTGAATGACTCCGAAGAAGCTTGAACCTTAGAAATTATATAAGTATCGTATTTAAAGTAGTTACTGAAATAATTTGAAAATTAAACACAACAAAAATTAACGTTACGTATGTACCTGACTAATCCTTCATTGTAGACAAATATCCTTAAAGGATCACAAGATGTTATGAGTGTGTATACTCGTATGTCGAACTTGTACCCATCCACTAGGTACGGTTTCGATAAATATACCTAGAATAAATAAAGAAATAGACTAAATCACCGGCTTAAAAGAAAGACAGCACTTAATTAAGTGCTGTCAGCTGTCAGATTTCGAATGCATAAGTACCTATGCACTCGAAATCTGACCTTAAATATTTGATAGTTCGAAACCAAAATAAAGGACCATGATTATAAGTATATTATTATACCTTTAGTCAATGATCTTTGTATAGGTACTTCATTGACCTAGAATATATTAAGTACCTAATAAATTTTCAAAAAGGCTTCTGCTTCTGGTTTGACAGTGTTGGTTTCAGATTAATTGAGCAGCAAGTATGTAGAAACGAGTAGCTGTAACTGCTTTGGGGCTGTCACGTGCTATTTACATAGCGTAAGTAAATACCTAGTAAAATACCTACCCTAGTATATACTTAAATAGTAGCAGTAGAGCTCGTTGTGAAAGAGTTCGTCCAGTAGGGCTAGCACGACAGCGCGCGATTAACGCGATATCGACATAAAGCGCGGGATCTCTATCCGAGAAAGCATTATCTCGCGGTTTACGTCGCTTTCACGCAAGTCACGCCCTGTCGTGCTAGCCCTACTGGGGAGTCAATACTCCCATAATAAGTATCCAATAAGTAAGGTGGCAATCCACCTTACTTATTTCTGCCGCCAAGCAGTAATGTAAATGTGTAAATTTGTGTGTTCCGGTTTTAAAGGGTAAGGGGTGCAGGTGAAATTACAGGCACATGGGACTTGTCAACTTACGTCTCAGGTTGACGGGCGCAGTGGCAGTGCCCGTCAGATCTTTGCGATTTAAAGCTCTGAGTGGCAGTGCAAATATATATATGTACGATACCTTACTTTCTCAAACTCGTATCTTATTAAGAGTGACTATTCAGGAGATGGCAGAAATTTCCATTTATTTTAAATTTCTTATCAAGGGTGCCAATTTGGATGCATTACTTTAAGAATAGGTAAAAGCTAGTGTAAATATGAAGGAAATGCGATGTGAAATCAGCCTGCAAAATTTGTATATACAATCCATTTTTGCATTTCACTAACTTTGTGCTTTAAGATACGAGTTTGAGACAGTAAGGCGACATTATATAATCTCGGGCACGTAATTCGAGCCACCTTGTATTTTCAATATTAAATGCTCTTAGATTAACAATGCTTGATTGATCAAGAACTATTATGCAACCTTCCTTAAGTCCTTATTGAAAATTTGAATTAAGAAAACCGGAGAAACCTTTTTCTTTGATGCTATCTATATTTTTTATTCTAGCCCTTTAAGGATAAAAATGTGAGGTGGCTCGAAGTATGTGTCCGGGAGTGTATAAAATTGTTCGTCCCGCCACTTGATATTATAAAAAAAAGTTAAATACACATTTCTAGTTTCTTTGTCGTTAATTCGGTCCTTAATTAACGACAAAGAAACTAGATGTACAAATAGATGTATAAATCCACGAACTTTAGTGGTCGGTATTTTTTTAAAGTTACGGTTGATTAACTTGAAATATAATGTTCCCTTTTGTCTTTAACTCAAGAGATACCTGAAAATTTGTACGTTTCCTTAATGGAACGCAAATTTCAACTTTTCATCGTTCTGACCACAATATCAAAGTTTTTGCAGGGAAATAAAGTTATTTCACGTTTCTGTGATAGAACCACGATGAATAAAACGATGTTTGTAAACTCACAGAATTAACTAACATTTTAGAAAATGGTCGATCGTAGATCTTTTAGCTGGAGATAAGACCATATTATAAACTAGTAAATTACATGAATAGGTCATGTATCACCCCTAGCTCCGCCTCTAGGGAAAGTTCTGGCAATAAACGAAAATGGATACAAAATTACATAAATAGAAAAAGTATTTTTCTGTTTACCTAAATTGATTGACTGTAATTCATCAACATAAAATACTCGCAATTTTTAAATGATTGATTTACCCTATTTTGGGTCATGGCAGGTTACTTACTTGACAAATGAGTTTGTCAGTGGGCTTGATTTCCTTCAATGACTTGGTAAGGTAGATGCCGCGTCCCTGGCTGCCGCATTCCGGCTTTATTATAAACGTTTTGTTCTTGCGGGATTTTGCGTAGTTAAGTGCTTCGCCAAAACTAAGACATATTACAAAGGTGAGTACAAATTGTTTTCTGCTGTTTTTGTTATAAGATGACTAAAATATTCATTTTCTGTAAACGTAACGCCAGATCGCTGCAAGTAGATATCCATAATTTCGCCATAGATTTACAATTGGGAGTAGGAGTAACACTTACCTGTCTAGGTATAATATTTTATGTACTTGTGATTTTAGCAAATGAACAGAAATGTACCTATTAAGATGTAATTGTAAATGTCATTAAGTTGTAATTGTAAATAACTGTAACTACTACTAATTGTAACTGCCTACAACACGTATTAACGAAACCAGATACTTATTTTACGATGAACATTTTACGAGTCTATGCTAGAGTAATATCTAAAAAGTCAATTTCTTGCACGTCAAAGTTATGGTAACTCACTCTGCAGGTAGACACCAAGTTTTGGGGAAAAAATTGTATTCTTTTGGATATATTTTCTGCATTCTGTTCAAGTTCCGTGCCAGGAGATCCTTCCTGCGGACGGGAAAGTTTTAATTAATCGTCGCTGCACCGGCGGTGTGCAATGCAGTGAAGTGGGCCGCGGCACGCGACCTCGTTAATTATGCCGCAGTTGTCATAATAACAAGTTATTTACAGCTGTTTCGACTCCACGAACTTCGACCACTAAATTATGTCATATTTATTTCGTGGTTTCTTTAGAGCAGGATTCGGAAAATAAATTAGTTTTTCTTTTTGGGAACTGTGTTTTCAGGTACCTAATGATTGGCACATTTACGATATCACCCGTGCAATCACTCGCGGCGTTAAGGATTTTCCTACTAGTCCTTTTCTATTATTTCTTCAGGAACCGTTTAGCATCAATGTCATTAAGTATTAAATTTTCAGTTAAACGTTTAATCCAGAGAGCAGAAAGTGGTAGTACCTGCATATCTCAAGCATGCCAGGAAAATGATTAATCCGCTGAAATCGTTTCATCTCCTTGGCTCGTTCAACGGAGACACTCATGTCCGTCCAATAAAAGTTCCACGCGTCTTCTTCGGACACTTCTCGCATACCAAACGCACTGGCCACCTTGCGGATGGACTCGTAGCGACAATTTGTGAGGCATATTGATATTTGAGACCTGAATGACAAACATTATGGGGAAATAAACAATACAGATAGGCAAAAACTTTTGTTTCAACAAATTGGACTGACCAATTTTCCTCTAGTGCATTTATCGAGGACTCGAATTCGTTTTTTGACTTCACTCGCCGTCGACAGAAAAACTCACGCTTGCAACTAAGTCGTATCCATTGAGCACACACGGAAGCACAGCTCATCTAACCTTGAAAACATTTAAGAATCCACGTGACTTACCTCCTTCTTTTTTTCTTTTTGCGTGAAGTCTCGATAGGAATAATGGGGGCGGTGCGTGAGGTGGGTTGAGAAGTGTCGTCCTCTCCCAACATTTTACCTTCATAAGTTCGCAGCAGCATGACAGCTACGTTCTCTGATGTGTCTTTTTCCTCGTTTGCAATTTCCATAAGTTTGTCTCTTTCTGCTTTGCGGAAAACAGTTAATAGTATTTACTTTGTCTAGGAAATACGACCTTAATGGCAAGAACTTGAGTATGATTTCTAGTGCTTGAAATCATACTCAAGTCAGGATTTGAGCAGACTTGAGTATGATTTCAAGCACTGGAAATACGACCCTAATGGCATTGAATCATACTCAAGTCTTGACTTGAGCATTGAGTAGAGTTCTAGAATACGACCCTAAGACAACTATAAAGTTATGCAACATTGTCAATCAAAGTGATGAGAAGCAACAAAGAACAAGATTTCCTCGCAAATATTTCGTTACTTTGTTTCCAAATAAAGGAGTACTCACATTACACCAGGACAAGCCTATAGTAGGCATAATATACAACAGTATACATTTGTTAAGGTTGTGCTATATAGAGAGAACGGGTTTGCGCGGAAAACTTTGTCAAAAACTTTTCGATACGACACATTTATCAAAATTCGAGGAATATACATTTTGTGGTTATAATATTCAAATGATACCAGCATTTACCATAGTGAGGTACTGCTATTACTTCAAAGCGTAAGAAAATGATAGTAAAATCAATAGGTATGTAATCACCGTTATGTTTATCGCTTTTCTTTTTATTCGGCATTGTGTGCATGTGTATGGGGCTTGCTGACTCCTGTACCTCGTCATCGCGCAAGTAGTTGTCACGTAACTCCAACTATAAGCCACTTATTTTACAATTGTGCGTAGAAAAGGGGATATATGACTGCTCAAACAGATGTGATTAGCCTTACTTGTAGATATCGTGACAGGTTACAATACTGTGCACACGCTATACACCGGGCTCCTCATAAAATGTATCGTTCGCGTTTCGCTGTTTTCACGGTGTTGTCACGTTAACGTAAATTTGTCAACGTCCAACACACTGCTTGCTAAGGAATGCGTTAAGACATAGGGGCAAACTAAATGTCATCATCCAAACCAAGGAGAAGGTCTTTTTATCACAACAATAAATCTTAAAGGGGGTGACATAGGGGATGAAAGTTTGTATGGAGAACTAACTATTTCTGAAGTAAGTAGTAAAGTAGGCTACTCGAAGTACTTATTCTACGCAGACGAAGTCGCGGGCACCGGGCTAGTTAGAACTATTTCGAGATGTGCAACATTTTTTAAAAGCAGGCATTTGGTGGTCCGTTTCCATTAGCCGATACGATACCTACTACTGCAGACGTTATAGCGCATTATGCCAATCGAAGCCCAACATGTACATTATTTATCAAATGGAGCGCTTAGGCTGGCTGCATACAGTCGAAATTAGTTTCGAAATTCAGTTTCGGAATATCAAATCGAGATGCCGGATATGCATCACACACATACGTTTATTTCCATTTTTTTTATAAGACCAAGTGACGGGACGAACAAGTCGTGCGCCTAATGGTTACAGTGCCACTCAGTGCTTTAAATTTCAAAGATCTGACGGGCACTACCACTGCGCCCGTCACCCTAAGACATACGTTGTCAAGTCCCATGTGCCTGTAATTTCACTAGCACCCTTACCCTTCAAAACCGGAACACATAACTGCTTGGCGGCAGAAATAGGTAAGGTGGCAGTACTATACTGGACGAACTCTTTCACAAGGAGCTCTACTGCTACTAAACAAATTTCCGTTCGGGATAACAAGATTCAGCTGAGAGACGAGAGTCCGAGGCATTGAGTTAAGATGAAAATACATACAGAATTTACGACTGTGTGTTGCGGCCCTACAAAATCTATGGAAGACTTGCATTCGGAACGGCTTTATCCGTGCGGAATTCCAAATGCACAAGCCAACATACTCAATACAAATACATAAAAAATTCGAATGGAATAGTACTGTATGTGTATGATAAGTCCGTGATTTGTATGGTTTTGCTATTTTCGAAATTCCGAAAATTTATATCCATATCCATTTTGTAAGGCCGCAACACACAATCGTAAATTCTGTATATATTTTCATCTTAACTCAATGCCTCGCACTCTCGTCTATGATTCGGGATTCTGACTGTATGTGGCCGGCCGAAGTGGTGTATTGATAAAATTCTATATAAATAAATAAATAAATAAATAAATATATATATATTTATATATATATATATATATATTTATTTATTTATTATATTATTTACTGTAATACTATAAATTGATTGATAAAATCAATAGTATTTTTAGTATATTGAACATCATCGTAATGAAAATACATCTGCAAAGTAACAAAGTACCAATGATACTAAAAATACAGATCTTGTCTCCACTTTATTCAATTATAGGCCTAAAGGCCCATTTAGATGGAGAGAGTTTCTCGCACGCTTCGTAACGAAAACTCGTATGCGATTATCGTAAGCAATAATCGCCATAAGATTATCGTATCATAATGTTTACATTCAGACAAGAACTAAAATCTCGCCTACGATTATGTCATACGAGATTCGCAAGCAACTTAATCGCCTCCTCGACTGTTTACACGGAGAAATATGTAGTAAGGAGATTCTTGCTTACGAGTTTTCGACTTGTCTAAACACGATCTCGTGTGACATTTTTTCAAGTTCATACGATTATCGTACAAATCGGTTCGAATCGTTTTGAGTGCGAGAAACGCCATTCGAGTTCAGTGATTACTGCGGTATTGACTGTGGACATATCGAAATGACGCAAAAATCATTCAAATTTGGAACTGCTGATAATATTAAGTTCATTGCATTGTAGAGAAATGTACATTTTTTTATTTTTTTCAAATTTTATAACATTTCTTAATCCAAATTTTTTTTCGGTCTCGTTTCATTAATTCTTGTCTTAGAAAAGCAGTGATAATCAAAACACCCTCGCGCACTGCACTCGTGGTAGAAACGGCTGGCACAGAAACTCGAAATACGATTTTTGCTTTCGAGTTCTGTTTACACGGAGATGTTCAATATTGAAAGGCGAGGCGATTATCGCTCACGTGGACGGTCTATAATCGCAAATGTT